TTTTGTAATTACAACCCCTGTAAGCCTAGGCGTGTCTGATTTGCGGGATGCGTACTTGTTTGGGAATTACAACTGGGGAGGAGCTCTTTAGTTGGAGGAGCTCTTTAATTCACTGCATGTTTCTGCATGTGCAGTTTTTTTAATTTTGGGAAAGTAGCGGGGAAAAGGAGGTATCAACTGGAGGTAGACAGTCCAGGCCGAGGGCTAAAGAGCCTGGCATAGCGTGGGTACCACGCTTACCCGGAGGCTCGGTTTGGACACATTAATATCCACTTGGATGGGGAACATCACCTTAAGATTTCAGCATCCTAGTTTCTCAGATTCCCTAGTTATGAACTTACTCGAAAAAAATTTTGGCGGTCCCGTGAATGGGTGCCATGCGTGCCTGAGGGCTGGGTTTGAGCTCATTTAGACTTACGTGGACAAGGAACATCCCCTTAAGTTTTCAGCTTTCTAGCTTTTCTTGTCCGCGAGTTAATAGCTTACCCGTGAAAAACTTTGGCGGGCTCTTATGTGGGTACCACGCGGGTAAGACCGCCCATTTTGGGGATGGGGGTCCGCACATGCATGTAGATTAAGTCCCCAATGTTTCAGCCCTGTAGCTCTTATAAGTCTCGAGATGAAAAATCGGTACAGGCGCGCAGCGCACACACAGACACACAAACACACACACACACCCACACGGAGAACCTCTCGTCAGTATACGTTTTCTGCGTTGCATAGCTGCAAAAAATGCATAAAAAGTAGCATTAGCAGTGTGGTCGTTGGAACCTTTAGTCTTATTGAGCTAGCGTTATACGAAGCTTTGAATTTCAGATGGGCGATGTTCCGACTGGCCATCACGTCACGTTCGCGTAAGTTGAGCATTCTTGTTTTATTCATGCACTTCTCCTTGTTTTTTGTCCAACCACCGTTGTATTAGTGAAACTGTTCGAGAAGATTCAGGGTACAGGATCCCTGCCCCTGTTGTAGCGTTTGGCGCGGTACACCAACAACTCTTTGTTCAAAAAAAAGAAATTTTTAGACAGATCATGTGACGGGTGCTTGTCTGCTCAATCATATCGCTTCACAGCACTACCCTTCTTTTTTTGCACAGTTTTTCGCCATTTTTACGTATTGTTGTACCTTACATTTATCATGTCCAAGGCCTTTTCCAAATTCTAGATAGGCAGCTATCAGTTTTCAGCATATTTGAATCAATGAGATTAAAAATTCGACCTTTTCCAACTTTTAGGTAGGCAGCTATCAGTTTTCAGTACATTTGAATCAGTGAGATTAAAAATTCGATGTTTTCTGGTAAAATTGAGTGATTTTTCCGTTTGCCTGCCCTCAGAATGATTTCTGCATTTGCGTGCTTTCGCTAAGGAATATTCGACTGGGATGTCGGAAGTTCAGGTTTTGAATGGTTGGCTAACTTCTTCTGCTATGATTTCTTCATTCAGCTCGAGAACCAGAAAAACTAGAAGGCTGAAAATTTGGGACCACGTGCGTCCCTCCTGTTTTAATATAATCACTCGCCTTCCCCTAGTTCCCATTTACGGCTGCAGTAGAAACTGAATAGTGATAATGGGGAGGATTTTGGAAACTTGTGATATGGGCCAAATTTTTATAGTAATTGTTTTTCTTATCAAAAATTCATTTCAGTGAAGAATGGACGGAATTTTTTGGGCAACGTGTAAACTTGGAGCGCATCGAGAAGAGCTGCCTGAGTGGACGACTTCGTGGTTCGCATGTTCGTTCAATCGTCTGGAGGGTAGGCGTACTTGTAATATTCAATAATTATGCGTTTGAATTTCGATAGACGTTCCATTTTTTTCCCATAAATTGACTTTCCCTCCGTAATGCGTTATTTCAGATTTTGTTGAAATGTTTACCTGTCGAGCGAGACGAATGGCTAACAATTCTTGCCCGAACTCGGAACTCTTATGCGAAACTGAAAACCCAGGTAACTTGGTTTCAGAAATTCCAGGCGCTTACTGCGATTAAATCGTGTGATCTTTTTTACTGTTCACTTAGTTTACTTGTTTCCTCGTAGAAATACGTGCTGCATTCACTTTTGGCAATTTTTTGCATTATCAAGGGCAATACTCGAAGCGTTCTTTGTCCTGTTCCTGTCTCCGTCGCAGTAGCCGTGCTGTTTCACTTTTCCCAGTAAGCACCCTTTGTATACGTTTATTGTTGCTCCTTGCACGGTGGGAGAAAGAAGTTTACTATGATTTTTCGGGTCTGATACTCCAAGTTCATCGGTGGCTTAGCAGAAATCATGCATTCAACGATTTTTGACGTGTGGATACGCATAAGCCCTACTGAATCCATCGAAACTATCAGGCTTAAGTAAATTAGCTAATCATTGATCGCTCACTTGAACCAGGTATCGGCTGCTCTCCATCGAAAAACCTTATATTTCTTGCTTTCGTAAAATCGTTCCTCGCAATTCAGTACAATATAAGCTGCCGGATGTATACCTCTTCAGTACTGTGACGCTTTCGAAGTCATCTGAAGTGCACTTCCCGGAAATGTAGCAAATTGACGAGCATACGTTTAAAGATTTTCAAAAATGTTTGCCAATATTTTTATGTTGAAAATGCCTTTAACAGATTCAGTGTTCTATTTCAGTTGATAACAAATCCTCGTGAGCATGCGTCAGACATGGATCCTAATGTCAGTAATCCTTTATCGCTGGGCAAGGAGGTAACAGGTTTTTTTTGCTTGATGGAAATTTCTTGTTGTTTTTATAATCATCATCAACAGGCTTATTAAAAAATTATTTATTTTCAGAATCCGTGGCAGCTCTATTTTGCCGA